CTGTGCAAAACACTATAAATCTCAGTAATGACTATAATTCAAAGTACTTCAAGTGCCACATATTTTCAGACAGACATTTATTTTTTATTACCAGTGCATATTCATCATTGAAAAAAAGTAATCTTTAAGTATTGCACTTTTAAGGCACAGTGGAATGTGGATTGTAACACAAAGCATTGTGTTCATCATGCAATGATACTTTAGCTGTATTAAAAGAATGTATTTCCGTATTACCAGAGCAAGCACTCATCACAATATTTTCAAGGAAAGCATTAGGACAATTAGAAAACCAGAGCAGAGTATTTCATCACAGCAGTATTCACCCATGCATGCACACACACACACACACACACACACACACACACACACACACACACACACAGGTGTGGGGTAAGAGAGAGAAAGGAGTAAAGAACTTCCTGTGTGGTTCATTTGTTAGCTAAACAAAAAGCAACAGCAATGGGATGGAGTTACTTGCATTTGACTGCAACAGCCAAGAAAAGAAACCTGTTTGTGTCTAAGCTTTGCAACAATAAGTTGTGAAGACACTAGTCATTGATGATTGATTCAAATTCAAAACCAAAGCAACTTGGTTTAAGTAGTTTTTCCTTGACTTCTTAAAGACAATAGGTGTTACCAATACTGCCCAGTTCTTTACCTAAGATGATGATACTGAGATCAAAGTGATTCAATGATCCATTTTTGTGAATGCGTTGAACAGAACAAGAAAAAGCAGTTGAGAAAACACCAATTTGGTACAACCTGAAGTACACTGATATGTTGCAATGGATAATGCAGAAATATGCTACGGGGCAAATTTGCAAAGCTCGGGAGTGTCAGCTGTTTAAAGTTGATAGTTACTTCCTACTTAGCAGGTTATACTGTGTAAGCATTTGTGTTTAACTAGTGAAGAGTTAACTATTACTAGAGCTGTACATTCTGTTAGGAAGGGAAACAGAGTATGGTGTCTCCTAAACAGCTGTTTGATGGCAGTGCTTGCAGTTTCCAAACTCAACCAGCTGTATTACATGTCTGAATTCCCAATATAAGTACAGAGGCACATTCCCTAGTCCCAAACCAACATCTCAGAACAAACAAGAGGAGTGCATCTGACAGGTGTGCTAGGAAGTGACTCACCTTCAGAATGATGTATGTTTAAAAGCAAATATCAAGAGCGAATCTTGACCACAAAGACTGATAAGAGTATTTGATATCATCTATTCGTGAAAACACATTCAAGATCATCAACAAATAAATATTTATGATCAATTTTAAATTCCAGCTAAGTGAAATAGCATCTCCTCAATAAAAAACAAATGCTTATTATTTGCAGACCTGTATTACAAGAAAACTGTATCCAAGTATTAATATATGTTGAATTTCACCAACAAAATATGCAGAGGTTTTTTTTTTTAATTGCTTAAGTATATAAGTCCCAAATTTGCCTCTTGGCCAATAAAGCCTAAATTTTATCCTCCCCCAAAAGTTTGCCAATCCTAGGCCAGAGAAGTAGAATGATTTCCAATTAAGAGAAACTACAACTTAACAAATACCCTCTGAACAACTGTTTTAACAAAACTATTTCATGCTTGGCAATGGTAACATACTCCTACAACCCTGGTACTCAGGAGGCAGAGGCAAGAAGATTGAGTTCAAGACCAGTTTAAAAACTAAGAGCATGGCTTAAAAGAAGAAGAAAAAATCATTTTCATATCCCAGTAATATTACCTAATAATGGTGTCACAGTCCTTTTCTTTGGTTATGATCTATATATTCTGATAAAGAAGTTAATTTATTAACTTGTGGCTCTGGTAAAAGCTAGGCAGACAAACTAGTCATCGATCTTCAACATCAACAAAGCTCTAGTCATGCTGACTTGTACTTGGGAAAATAAACTTTGAACTCTTCTAACCTATCAGCATGGTCCTGAAAGGCTGACCAGGAACATATCAGCTAAAGTACCTGAGATTCCCTTTTTTACCCAAAGTCAAACATTTTTCAAATGCAACCATGCACTATGTTAGCAATATCTGAAGATGTTATTTATAAAATTCTGAAAACCAGTATTGCTAAGTTTAAAAACTGAGTTTGTGTCTTATGCTACATTTTGTTTTTCTAGGATTGAGAGAGGTTATCTGTATTCTGCTGCTTAGTAGTTATTAACTTTATATTTTCCCTCCACGTTTCCCCCATTAGTCTTTTCACATTCAATGAGATAATACAGTCACAGCACAAGGTCAATGGCAGGCGGGCTAGGAAACGTGCCATACCAGCGGTATACAGGCACCACCAAGCTTGTAACACAACAGTAAAGAATTCAAGGGGGTATTTTAATCCGCAACAGTGTGAAGTAAATATTATAAGTTCAAAAGTTAGAGTCTCTGACCACTAAAAACAAAAACAAAACAACAAAAAAGCCAATCCTTGATACCGGAGGCCAAACAGTAGGTCAAATACTAGCAAGTCTGCATACTTTTTCTATGTTTAGGCAATCATTACCTCTTCCACAAACCACACTGTTTTCCAATTACTCCCCTCCAAAACTAACAAATGCTTTCTAATTCCAAATATCTCAACTAAACATGGCAATAGAGATACATCTGTAAGCCTCTTGAGTCCTGCCCAAAATGAGTCAAAGAATGAGAATGCATACGTGTTGAATGTTACATTACTTATCAAGATGTAAATGTTTCATAGGTGACCCTAACCTAACTTACTTTCTTCTAATCAGGTGAGCTCATCATTACAATGCCTTTAATAACCATGTTTATGCAGATAACTTTTACATTTATATTTCTTCTGAGTTTGACTCATATCCTGTACTTTTTTACATGTATTTCATTGAATACACTAAATGCACCTCAAATTTACCATATCCCACACCAAATTTGGGGACTTTCTCATCTTTTCATCTTCTAAGTTCATGTCTAAGCAAAATATGTCACTATCTTTTAAAATATCCAAGTGAGATACTTGGAACTAGTTATCTGTGATTCCTACACTTTCATTTCCATGAGCAGTAATATAACTAGTGAGTCTACTTGCTAACTACCTTTCTTTTCCTTGCTGGCAAACACCCTAGTCTAAACCATCAACATTTCTCTTTTAACCTACTCTTACTCATTCCTAATGTATCTAGAACACCCAGTCCTACCTATTTTAAATCTACTCACTTAAACGCAGTGGGGTTTTGTTGTTGTTGTTGTTGTTTTACAAGCATCGGATTCAACCATGGCTAAATATCTTAATGTCCTTTCACGTGGCACTTCTCAAGTGTTTCCTAACCATGGAGCCATGACTCAGGCCCAGCCATCAGGAGAACAGCAGCTCTTTGTCCACTGGCATGGGCTCCAGTGGACATGGAAAGTTACTGGACCTGCTGGAAACTGCTCTCTGTTTTTACTTGGTTACCATGACAGTAGCATCTGAGTGGCCACTCGACCCTCACACTGAAAGTGAAAACAGTAAGTTGAAAGTCGAGCCAGGAGATGACACAGGAGAAGGGCAGGTGCCAAGATTAACTATCAGGAGCCAGTTTTACTGGGCTTCACAATTAAATGAAATATCTTTATTGCTCAAGTCAAGTTAGTTCTTATCATTTGCATGTGAAAAGTTCTTACTAATGCAAATACAGTCACGGAGACTAGAATCCACTCTAAGATCACATTGCTTTTTCTAGGTAAAGCCCATTGAAGATTATGTGTCATCCCCAGACCATTCTGCTTCTGTGTGTATGTGTGTTGTGTGTGCTGTGAGTATATGAGTATGGGTGCACACACACAGACTGTGCTGGATAGTTTTAAGCCAACTTGACACAAGCTAAATTCATCTGAGAGGAATGAACCTCAATTAAGAAAATGCCTTCATAAGATCCAGCTATAAGGCATTTTCTTAATTAGTAAATGATGGGAGAGGGCCCAGTACATTGTAGGTGGGAGCACCTCTGGGCTGGTGGTCTTTGATTCTAAGAAGGCAGACCGAGCAAGCCATGAGAAGCAGCCAATAAGCAGCACTCCTCTATGGTCTCTGCATCAGCTCCAGCTTCCTGTTTCCTGCCCTGTTTTGAGTTTCTGTCCTGACTTCCTTCAATGATGAACAGTGCTATGGAAGTGTAAGTCAAATAAACACTTTCCTCCCCAAGTTGCTTTGGTCACAGCAGTAGAAACCCTAACTAAGACATACTGAGAACTCCGAGGGTGACATCTATCATTTCCACATCCATTTGAGGCAGGGTCTCTCACTGAACCTGGAGCTAAACTGGCAGCCAGCAACCCCAGTGATCCTCCTGTCACTGTAGGACATGATGCTGGGGTAACAGGTGCATGCTTAATTATACTGGCTTTTTACAGGGGTTCCTAGGATTTGAACTGAAGCCCTCATACTTGCATAGGAAGCACTCTTACCTGCTGAGTCATCTCCCTGATCCACATTCTTCTGTTCTCCTGTTTTGTGAAGTCTCTGGTGCGCAATGCACATACTGGTCACAGGCTAAATGGTTCTACTTGCCTTATCTTGCCTACAGCATCCTTCAGTAAACAAGACTCCATTAATACCATTTGGTAAAACTGCTTAAAGGACCAACATAACGATAAGTCGAATTACTGTTGCAAATATACGCTCCCCATCTGCAATGACTTTATCCACTTAAAATTAATTAACAATGAACTTCCATAAATAGCATGACTTCATTTTCAAAAAAGGAATAAAATCATTGTTTATTCCCTTAAGTTATTAGAAGACAGATTTAACTAATTGCTCTACTAAGTAACTCAGAAAAAAATTATATATATATATATTAAAAAGTGAAAACAAAGAAGCGAGCTTAGATTCTTCCTGTTTTGTGTTCCTTACAACTGTGCTCCAACAAAGAACAAAACCAGAAACATGACAAGAGCAGGTTCCTTCTGCCTCTTCCAGAATAAACCAACAGAAGTTCATTTTTAAACCACTGAGTAGCAGTGAAAGGCATCAGTTCACTCATGGCTAGAGGAAAGGGGAAAGAGAGTTTAAAAAAACTACCTTTATTTATTTCTTTTTCAGTTACATACTTTTAAACAGGGCTGTGTTTCAGTATTCAGACATTCAGGCAATGTTGACCTCATTAGTGTTGACAGAAAAGAAGCATAAAAATGCAAAACATTGTTGGCTTAACCTGAACATACCTGCATTACCTATTACTGACCAGTCTGTGTGCCAAAGACTTATCCTCTGACACTAAAATGGAGCACTTAAAAATATTGCTAAAAAGCAAATGTCTACACACTGGCCTTTGCAGCAAATAAGGGTATTCATACTTTTAAAATATTTAAGTCCATAATTGGATTAATATACACACCTTCTTATGTATAAGGAGTTCAGATCATATAAACACTGTACAATCCAAAAAATCCTACTGAGAATAAAACTAAATAGGCTTATGATAAGAAATACAGATATCGCATGTATTTACAAATATCATAGACACACAAATTTGGTCAAATACTGTAAAGAAGTGGTTTCACATTATAAATGGCCAAAACATCCATCTACCTTGCTCAAAGCAAACAAAACCAAAAATTCAGTATTTAACTCCTGCAGTTTAGACCTCATGACAATATACAAATAGAGTGGAAACTGCTGACCAAATTATACAGCAAGTGTTTTCTAGGTTGAGTATAGGTCTTCAAAATTCAAGAAAAAAAGATTGCTCATAGGATTAAAAGAAACAATGATAAACAATGTCCTGATTCATGATGTTCATATGGGTGCCCAATTTATCAAAAGCAACACATTGAACTTTTGGCTATAAGAAAAATAAATTACAAAATACAATTAAATACCTGTAAATTCAATAATGAAGTAAAAAAAAAGTGGATTCATTTCCTTTAATACATATTTTTAAATGTTACCTTGAGACAAAAAAAAATAAATAAGCATACCTGAAGGTTCACACTTATGACAGAGAAGAGAATGCATGGAAAGAGTAACAATTTTATAAATGAATGTGTGATATGATCAACAGTATCTTTCTAGCCAGTCTTTTGTTTTAACTCTTAAAAATCTGGCTAAGAGAATGTGACAAAAGTATGCCTGTGTCCTTATGGCTTAAAACAAAGCACACTACAAAGTGGAATGGACTTAGCTAATAACAGAACTGTTCACTGTTCATATGCAGGCACTGTGAAAGCTCTGGAGGCAAAGCACCTGGCCCACCCTCTCCAAACATTCTCCCATCATCAACATTATGCTCAAGACAGGAAATTTCAGAGAACTAGCAAAGTGAATACAAGAGACTAATGTGCACAGAGGGCAACAGAGTGACCCAGTGTTTATTGCTGGGAGGGTGTTTCTTTTCTTTACTCCAAGAACTACCTAACAAACCTAACAAACAGCCACCACTGTATGGCACGTCCTCCGATTTCTGCTTCCGGGAGATGTGGCCATCCAGCAGCAGGCTTCAAGGGGCTCTAGCCTTACACGCCGCAACAAGTTTCACATTTATTTCCTTTCCTTAGTGTATTTTTTTGAATTTCGACATAGATTCCTTCTCCAGTACTCATTTTTTCGCTATCTAGCATACGTTATCCTCTGGAAGCATGGAGTCACATCACACAAATATTATTAGAGCTTCGGCCACTTCTGCAGTCACATTGCACACAGTGGCACAGCAGAAGCCACGTTCCTATTTCCCACATTTCTTCTGATTTATTCACCACCACCGCTTGCCAATCCCATAGTGCTTTTCCCTCAGTACCTTTGGGCAGTGACTGTACCTTGATTTCACAGATAGAATGCCAATATGATTCATGAATAACAGTACCATAAGTCATACTGAAATCAATGCAGATGTCACAAAATAGGAACTTTTCAAGAAAGTTGTTTTTAATATTTGGGCAACTGTTTTCTCTGCTGCACTATCCATTGGGAAGAAAATTCTTGTTTGATTATGCTTTTATAGAAGACATAAAAAAATCAAATTAGATGCAATTAATTGACACTTGGACACCTGTATCGTTTTCTATAACAGAAGAGCTTCTGGAAAATGTCCTCTGGAACTGTGTTCATCAATACCACTTCATTGGTCCATTCCATTCAATGATGGGCAAAGCACTCACATTTTGACAAAATTTTAAAGCTTCCATAAAGTTAAATTAGGAGCGGAAATGAATGTAAGACAAACCACAAAACGAAATATGAAAGTATGACATTTTTGTTTCAAGAGTGAGTCCTTGAAAATATATGTGGTCACTACAGAGATGATTTTAATCACGAGACAGCATATGAACATGTAAGTAACTCCCCAGGATCTGTCTGTATCCAGTCATTTGTGACGTTGTATGGTTTTCCTTTTCCTTCGTTTGAAAAAACAGCAGCACCTGCAGATGAAGAAGATGTTCCTTTATTACAAAACACTGAAGTGGTCAGAGACTGGATTTGTCATAGTAATTTAGATAGTCATAAAAAGCAACAGGCTCGTGCAAGATTGTGAACATATCAGCGAAGCATTGGTATTAGTGACCCTATGGCAGTTATTGTGACTATGTCCTATCAGCATGCCTTTTGAGTAGAGCGGGTCATTCTGTGCAATAAAAAGGAGCCAGGAAGTCCAAAAGGCTTTGCTTCAAGAAGTGAAAATCTACAGTGCTAACTCTCGACTGATCTGCCCATCTTACTCAGGACATTCAACAGTCTCTGTGTGCCATGCTTTTATAATGTTCATCTATACAGTTCTTCCCTTTCTGTCTGGTAGTTTTGATTCCAAAAGTCACTGTTACAAAGGCAATAATGACCCTATTTCATTTTAGTGAATATCAGTTTAGAATCTAAAACAAAAAAAAATAACAATGATAAACAAGTATTTCCTACCATATTTATCAACAGAAAGAGAAAACAGATTAAGTACAACATTAAGATGAGCACTTATTTTAAGGTTTTTTGGACAGACTCTCAAATGGCCCAGGCTGGCTTCAAATTCACAATATAGATGAGGATGACTGAACTGTTTATCCACCTGCCTCTACCTTTTTGGTACTTTAAGAGTCAAAACTTATTCTAGGTTTTTTAAATTATTTATCAAAGTAATTTTATACTTAACATTTAAAATAGCATAGAGAAAATGAATCCATTTTATAATTCAAAAACTATATATACAAACTTGTTTTAAACATATAGGTTTTTTTAAATATATAATTCAAAAAATATATATCTTCAATCCTTGTCTTTTTCCCTAGGTAAAAACACGTACATATAAACTTTACCTCACTGAGGTAACCATCCAGAAAAAGCTGAAATGAGCGAGTGTGTGTATGTATGTATGTGTGTGTTTGTGTGTATATACTGAAATATTCATGGGTCTAAATTAGAGCTAGGGCCATAAAACAAACACTAAGTACAAAATACTGTTTCAGGAATTAGAAAACCAGTCATGTTTACTTTCAGCTATAATAACTAATACTTTCTCAAATCTTAAATATATAAATTTTCAAAAATAGAAACTCAAAAGGACACTGCTCAGTGGACAGAGCCCTGGATTCAATCTTCAATGCCATATAAAGTGGGCAAGAGGTAGACAGAAGGGTCAGGAGTTCAAGGTCACAGAGTTTGAGTTGAACCTGGAATACATGAGCCCTGTCTCAAATAGAGGAGGCAAAATATTATTCAAGTAATCTTTCCATTACTAGGAAACATCCACAGAGTAAAAGGTAAAATGAGAAGAAAAAGTCATTTAAAAGAAAAGAAATAGATCAAATATTTAAAATATGAAATTTAAGAATTTAGTGATTATAACACGCGTCTTAGGAGGTCTTATTAATTTAAAAAAAAAAAAATCCAGTGCCAGCTATTGGGGTGAATTCTGCAAGATCAAAGAAGCAGAACAAGCCACAGCCAACCTCACCTCACCAACTTCTCAGCCGATCCTCCTGTTTTCTCAAACTGGAAGCCTGAGTCCTCATCAGAATTGATCTCAGTTGAATTGCTGCTAAAAGCCTAAAAGCTTAAAAGGCCTCTAGTTCCTGGTCCTCATGCCTCATATACCTTTCTGCTTCCTGCCATCACTTCCTGGGATTAAAGGCACGTGTCTTTCCCAAGCAAAACAGGAGATCACAAGTGCTGGGATTTAAGGTGTGTGTCACCATGCCTGCTGTTTCCAGTGTGGCCTTGAACTCACAGAGATCCAGATGGATCTCTGCCTCCAGAATGCTAGGATTGACGGCATGTGCTACCACTGCCTAACCTCTATGTTTATTATAGTGGCTGTTCTGTTCTCTGATCCCCAGATAAGTTTATTGGGGTACATAATATATCAACCACGAGTGTTATTTCAATGAAAATTCAGTACTGTTTAATATAAAGTCCTTGTTACTGATATTAAATGTTTCTATATATTTTCATTTGTCATTTCAAGCTCCAAAGTATATCCCTTCAAAATCTGTGTACTAAAAAGGTATTTTAAGTTATATAAGCCTTTAATTGTGGGGAATGTAATGCAATGCAAGTGTTGATAAACAGGTTGTTCACTACCAGCTTGTCCACACTGGGGCCATAGTCACATGCCTCACTTATTTCTTTGGTTTTGTCTTTAGTTCGGAGAGCCAAGTTCTTTCCCTTTGTTAAATAACCTTTCTTTCTAATGTAAGAACTATTGGATAAAGAAAGCATGTCCAATCAAATCGTTTATTTGAAACTAAATAAATTCTAAGAAAATTTCTAATGGCACAGGTTCTTTAAGTTCAAAAACAACGTTAAAGGATTATCCACATAACTTTTAGAATAAATCCCATTAAATAGGATGGCATACTATTAAAGCAATTACCACCAGAGGGCAGCATTGATGTGTGTTCTATGATGCATCTGCCCACAAAGCAGCAGCATTAAAGGAGTCAATTCAAATTTTAACCCCCACTGGTTTTTAAGATAAAAGTCATTTCAAAACCAGCTGATTCATAGTCTTGGTGACTGAGAAATTGTCCTCTCACTTATGTCCCGCTTCCCAGCACTCCACCTGAAACAGGGCTGTTCTCCTAACACCGGTTGTCTTTTGTCTGCATTGACTACTACTCTAAGTGATTCTGTCTGACTACCTCCCTTCACACTGGAAGGAAGCCATGGCATGGTGAGCTCACAGAAATAGCCCATCAAATGAGCAAAAAGTTACCACTTGTTTAGTATTTGTTGAAGATTTGCCTCCTTCACACAACCAAACCCTACAGCAAGGTCTAGTCAAAATTATAGGTATGTTCTGAATCTCGAGTTCTTACCCATGGGCCACAACCTCTACTGTAGCCTACAAAACACAAATTTCAGCACCATCGTGAGGCTTTTTTGAAGAAAACTGACCCAGGACACATTCTTAAAATGCCAAGTCTGGATCTCAAGGATAAGACTTGGCATAGGTTCTGTATCCAATAATACTTATATTCAAAAGGCAGCTATTTAACAAATGGGAAGACTTAAGCTTTCAGAACTGAAAACAAAATCAGAGAAACAAGTGAGGTCATGTGAATCTAACACCAGTGTAGAAGAACTGGCAAATAAGAGCCGATGCCATTGAAATTCATCTTCAAACCACAGTGAGCTAAGCTTGGCTCTGCTGTTCCCAGCACACCGCTGTTCCACTTCACTCACTGTCCTCTTTCTCTAGAATCTGCTGTTTTCTTGGACCTATATTATACACTCACTTCTCTCAATCAAAGTAAAGCATGTTTTCCTGTCCAGATCTGAGGTTCTTACATACAGCCTTCTACAATGACTCATCAGCATCACCTTTGTGCAGACTATTCCTGCATCCAGCCTGTACCACCCACTCAGGACTTCAGAAGCCAGTCTCTCCAGCCGTGGCTTAATGAGCATATAGAAAAGCACCTTTTCTAACAACTAATACTTATTTTTTGACAAATACATATTTTACATAAAAATTAATAGCCATAGTACAATTCCTTATCTTTGGATTTCTTGATTTTTTTTTTTTTTTGGTTTTTCGAGACAGGGTTTCTCTGTGTAGCTTTGCACCTTTCCTGGAGCTCACTTGGTAGCCCAGGCTGGCCTCGAACTCACAGAGATCCGCCTGGCTCTGCCTCCCAAGTGCTGGGATTAAAGGCGTGCGCCACCACCGCCCGGCCGGATTTCTTGATTTTTAAAAAATTTTTATTTGTTTTGTTTGTTTTTCAAGGGAAAGTTTCTCTAGCAGCTCTGGCTGTCCTGCAGCTAACTCTGTACACCAGATTTGCCTCAAACTCACAGAGATCCACCTGCCTCTGCCTCCCAAGTGCTGGGATTACAGGTATGCGCCACCACCACCATCCCACCCCACCCGGGTGGATTTCTTGATTTTAAAAAGGAAGAACTGTTAAGCTAGGCAAGAGTTCATATCAGAACAAGATTATGGATGTAACTCCTTCAAGAAGACACCTATAGTCCCATGTCCTGTCTTCTTCTCTATCCACTCACAACTAATATCTCTCTCTAAAATGATGCAACCTTCTCACCTTTTTCAAGATGGCTTAGTTCAGAGATTTCATCTTGCCTATACCGTAGTTTAGAATTTTTCAACAGAATTTTCCTTTTAAGTTGACCACACCTATAATCCCAGCTAAACTAAAGCAAGATCAAAAGCTCAAGCCAGCCTGAACTAGAGAGAGACCATGCCCCAACCCTCCACCTCCCAAAAGCCAGAATTCACAGTTTAAGTCTCTACTTGACAATTTGTCCTTGTAAGTACAGCCATGCCCTCTTGCTCATCAATTTCATCACTGGCTAAGCCTTTTGGGGCCACAGAGTTCTTCAAACTTTGGTCCCCCATCTATTTCCATGATCCTCTTCATTTTATCTTTGAAGGAAAAGAGGAAGAGCGAGAGGTAGGGGAAGCATTGACTTTCCATCGATAGTGCACACCACACAGTCTTGTTTTATCCTCTATAACTCCACTTCTCTCCTATACTGGTTATAGTAACTGAATATAGCTTGGCAATAAGGTACTTGCCTTACAGTACAAGGCACTAGATTCAACACGCCCCCCACACACACAAAACCTTACACATCTAAGGCTGAAAACTGAAAGGTATACTTCACGTCTGCTCAAATCGTATGTAAGCTTTGAAATACCTTCATAATCATCCAATCACCAAACATAAAAATAATTTGCCCAATAAATATTAGAAGGGGGATAGGATACAATCTAGAAAAAGAAGTTATGTTCATATTCCTTAGTCTTAGGGATCTGAACAACGTTAATGACCTTATAGAAATGCTAAGACTTAATCTGACTAAAAGAAAAGAAAAAAATTTGTTTAAAGAGTTTGAATGAAGAGCTTTAAGGAAGAGAAATTCTGAGGATTCGTGCAACCCACCTAGAATCAAGTTTCCTGACCCACAGGTTGCTATCTTTTAATACCACTTTACCTAGATATAATTCTTGTGTCATAACATTTGTCCTCATACAGTGTACAATGCAGACAAATAGTCTATTCACAGAACTGTACAGACACCACGACTACCAACTTCAAAGCTGCCTCATTACTTGAAGCAGTGGTTCTCAACTTGTAGGTCATAACACCTATGAGAGTCACACATCAGATAGCCACATTACAATTCCTAACAGTAGCAAAATTACAGTTATGAAGTAGCCACAAAAAAATTTTATGGTAGGGGTCACCAAAACACAAGGAACTCTATTAAAGGACTGCAGCATTAGGAAGGGTGAGAACCACTGCCTTAAAGGAACCCTGCTATCTATTGTCAGTCCCTCACATTTCTTTTCTCCCAAAGACAATCACTAACTACCTTTACCTGACCTGTACCTTTACTACTGCCCTGTTCAGTTTATGTAAATAGAGCTATATAATACATAGTATTATTCTGTTCCTTTCACTTACAAGAATTTTCAACCTCACTTCTTTGTATTATATAATAATGCATTTCATGGGTATGGTAAATTGCTTTAGTGAATTATTTACTAATAACTTTTGTGGTTTTCTATTTTAACCCCTGGGAGTCTAAAGATGAAAGAGTCCTTATTTTCAATACACTGAGAAAGACATCATGATGTGAGAGATGTATAAAGAAAACAACAGGTAGATTAACAAAACAGTAGTAAAATATATAGCATCAGAATTAAGTTGAGTCTGGGAAAAAACAGGAAATGACAAGAGTAAGCAAGCTATAAAGTCCTTTGATGTCATATCAAGAAATCTGGACACAATCCTCCAAGGAATAGAGGACAGTCCCTTCAGGAACAGCAGTCTCATAGCTTTCTTCACTCTTGTCCTACAATGCCTCCGGAGAGAAAAGCCAGCCTATTTGCATGCATACCCACAGGCATCAAACTAAGTGAACCATAGATTATACCATTTTGAAAGCCACTCTACAAAGCAATCTCTGATTATTCGGTCACAAAGTGATCCATTTCTTTACAAATCCATAGCTTTACCATGTACTAATATCTACTACTGCAAGTGAAATCTCAACAGTGTAACCACTGAATGAACCTATGGAGAATGAATAGACTGGATGGAAAGTCTCTAAAAGGAAGTAAACACAGATAGCCAGGCTTAACAATGACTGTGGGACAGAGATGGAAGAAGCACACTCCTGTGAAGAGCACAGATAAGAAAGGTATCAGCAGCCAGTGATGAAGAAATAAGTAAGTGTGATAATAGCGACACAGTCCCTGAACGGGACAAAGTAATGGAACCTTGTCACATCTACTGTTTTTCTCAACTCCCTGTGAGGTGGATATTATTACAGCATTTTACAAAGAAAGAAACAGGCCTAAAAAAGTACCACCCTATGTCATAACTGTCCTTAGTACTCTACCTAAAATTCAAGTACAGGCCATTATGGTAACTTTTTATTTAAAAACAAACAAGTAAATAGCAGACTAAATATCTCTTGAAATATACTAAATAAATTAAGTCATACCACCAATAAATTCTAAAATGAAAACTGATCGAAATGGATTACTACTTGCTAAAAATAAATATCCACATTATCTCAGTTTTCAGCTAGTTTAAAAACAGCTAGTGTTTTTAAAGATGTAAGTAAACTGACTAACAGGCTTTAAAACTGACTATCTAAGCCTTTATTCACGGCAAAACTGACTTAAAATTTGTCTTGAAATTGAGAGAAGCACTTAAACACAGATTGCAACTGTAGGCAAATACCAGAAAATAACTAAAATTCAGTACTATTTCTCCCAGGAAGAATATTTTTAAGAATATTATTATTATTATTATTATTATTATTATTATTATTATTATTATTAGAAGGAGGATTTTCAAAGTACTGGTTAGTAAATGAAATAACATTTTAGTGATACTGTAGGGGGAGAGATTATGTGTCCAAAAATTGAAAACAGGGAAATAAAAAGTTTAACTCAAAAACTTAGCTTTCTACTTAAAATAACAAATAACAACTTCCATGTCACAAAGGAAATGCACAAGCACAAGCAGGTTGGCGTGTCGTCTATGCAGTTAAAAAGTGCCCCCAAACTATGGAACTTAAAGCAAAAAAAGCTGCAGCAGGCAAAACAGCTCCTCAACAATTATTTCTTGCTTCTCAGAGTTAATGTTATTGGCATCAATGAATTTTCAGTTTTACCAATTATAATCTCTAAATTAAGAATGTTTTTGTTTGTTTTAAATGGTGCTAAATTTTTGAAATTGTAGTCAATGGAGCTATTTCTGCCTGCCTACACTTGAGAACTCACCACATATTCAATACTTTCTGGCAGCTATACACAGAAAAACAAAAAGAAAAGAAAAGGGGAGAGAGGAAGAAAGAGATATAATCAAAAATAGCCCATAATTAAATGATCACATTGTTTTGCATGCTTAATTTTTCCAAGCAGTATTACTATAATTTACATCTTAAAAATTAATCTTAAAGTAACATTAAACATGCAGTATCCTACAATGCCAAGTACTTATACTTATTGAAAAGTAATAATTAATACAGTAATAATATCAGTGCAATGTTCCTAATATCAAAAGCTAAATGTGCTATTAAGTTTATTTATTCATTCATTCATTTATTGTTTTTTTTTTTTTTTTGAGACAGGGTTTCTCTGTGTTGTTTGGTGCCTGTCCTGGATCTCGCTCTGTAAACCAGGCTGGCCTCGAACTCACAGAGATCCACCTTAAGTCTAAATGAAAATTTAAGCACAGTTCCCAAATAACAATTTTTGTATTAAGAAAGTATTTACTAAAGTAGTAGTACTTTAATGGTGATTAAGATAATCAATTATATCACTTCTTTTGTGTGCTCTACTCCCTACAGAAAAAATAATATGTGGAATAATTAGATGTAACTATAAAGTTCAAACATGAAAAGTTATGAACCCACCCCACCCCACCCCCAAAAAAAACCCTACTGAAATAAGCAAAACAAAACGTACTTGGTTTCATCCATCACTTCTACTTCTGTAGGGGCTGTGATGGGCGCGTTTGATCGTCCTGCCGTGGGGTCATCCGTGTTTAACTCTCCATTTGTAGAACTTACAACCTGTTTTATAAGGAGAGAGAAAGAATATTTATATATATCAAACACATATACATAATAACATATACTAAGTAAAGATTAAGGAATTTAAATTAGAAAGTTAATGAGGAACACAAAATAATTAGTAGATCAAAGCCATCTAATGTGCTTTTGACTTACTTCCTTTCCATCTTTAAACTTCTATTTTCTGCTTCTTTCTAGAAAGGACCTCCTACACTGAGATTTCCATCAGTTCCCCTTGTGTGCCCATCTTCTTGGCACAGTACATATGATCTACTTTCCCTCCTCCAATCTGCAATTACGGAGACTTCCAACTCACACTGCCCATTTTAAGGAACAACAGAACCACCCTCCACCTCATCGTGTAAACCCCACATCTGATCTGTAATAGGTCCTCTGAGATATTCCCCAAACACATACTATCCATATCTAGTCAGTTCTCATTACCTCTATTACCACTCCAGTACCAAAACAACATGATCTTTCCTAAGGGCAAAAAGGCTATTAGTCTTCTGTTCTGACTTGTATCACAAGTAAAATACATCATCCACAAAGCAACCAGAGTACTCCTTTCCAGGTATAAATCTGTGATAATTCCCTTCTGAAAAGTTCCAACCTTTAGCTTCTCATTTAACTTAGAATAAAAAGCTATATTCCTTACCCCACATGCTACAGTCCCACATAATCTACTGTCTGCCTACCTCCCTAACCCCTTAGCTCACCAGCCTCTATCTAATACATCAGGTCAGGCCTTAGCACTGACCCCGTCACTGGCTAGGTTCTACAATGACCAATAGGTGGTCTTACTTCTCAGATCCCCAGAGAGCACCTCTATGACAGGCTTTTCTACCATATGCCTAAAATTTCCACACAGGAAGTCTCTTATGCTGTACTTTTTGATTCTTTGTATAAGTCATTTGGGTTGATTTTTATTCATGTATTTGATTATTTTTATGTTTGACACATGGTATCTCTTTGTAACCCTGGATATCCTGGAACTTGAACTCACTGAGTTCTGCATGCCTCTGCTTTCCAGGTGCTAGGATTAAAGGCACACATCTACACCTGGCTTCTTTGTATGCTTTTGGTTTTGTCTGGATGTTCTTATTTCCTGATTTACCTATTTTGTTCTTAATATTCTGCCTCTATTAAAACTATTTCATAAGAACACTAATCTCATCTTGCTCTCTAATATACCTGACACAGAACAGGCCTTCTACCTATTTGTCAGAATAAATCAATACAGCCATGCATGAATGATATTCTAAGACTTTTAAGATTAATATAACAAAATTCCTAAATTATCCAAGGACCTAAAATACAGATTCACTTAATTACCCTATTTCTTTATTTCCTCTTAACACTAAACCTGAAAAGATACTCACATCCCATGCTTCCCTTATTCCTAAGGTCCTTCCATTCTCTTTCTCCGTATCATCACTCCATCTGCTCTGTCTTTACTTTCAAACTGAGAATTCTCTTGAAAACAGCGAGAAAGTCTGAAAACTGTATTCTGTGAGCTTTGCTTGTGCCTCATTTTCCTACAAAATTTCTGTATCTGTTGGCATCAATTAGCTGATCACTCTTCTCTCTATATAGACTTATACAGAGTCTATACTAAGATGAATCCACACCCCAAACTAGCTATACCACTACCAGTGAAGCAAGCGTGAGAAAGAAACCTTGATCTTGCTAAATCTCAGTGCCCTCAACTATGACATGAAACATGCCAATGTCTAACTATCAGCTGGAATGGGACCAATACATACAGCCAGAGATCAAGCAATCAGCCAGCCTTTTGCAGAGGGATGTTACAAAGGAGAAATGAAGGCACACGTTATAGGGAAGCCAAAATCAATCAACTAAGCAAATACATTTGTTAAAATTTTACAAGTCAGATTCTAAAGAATGTGCTGTGGGATGTTCTGTATGGCAAATGTGTTGCTCTGATTGGTTAGTAAATAAAACACTGGTTGGCCAGTAGTCAGGCAGGCAGGAGGAAGTATAGGCAGAACAAGGAGGAGAAGAATTCTGGGAAGTGGAAGGCTGAGTCTGGAGTCACTGCCAGCCACCGCCATGACAAGAAGCATGCGAAGACTCCAGTAAGCCACGAGCCATGTGGCAAGGTATAGATTTATGGAATGGATTAATTTAAGCTATAAGAACAGTTAGCAAGAAGCCGCCACAGCCATACAGTTTGTAAGCAATATAAGTCTCTGTGTTTACTTGGTTGGGTCTGAGCGGCTGTGGGACTGGCGGGCGACAGAGATTTGTCCTGACTGTGGGCAAGGCAGGAAAATTCTAGCTACAAGAATGGGTCTGTTTAGCTGGCATTTCTAGAATCTTAACTACACTAGAAGGTTGAAATATCAGTTTTTTTCAGGCTGACTTATTTTCAGGAAAGTTTATAAAAATGACATAATCTGAAGTTTGGCATTTCAGAGCATAATGAGGTATCTTATGGTTTACTGTTATAATGCTTGAAGACTTTCTGCTCTGACACTCCAACTGTGAGGGGAAGAAAACCAACCACATCATAGTTAGTATTTTAAGAACTGACTCTAGTTTCACTACCAAGTTTCAGAGGACAGGAGGAAAAAGCCCATAAGCAATTCCCACAGAAGCCATTCTCAGTTAGACACGACAGAGCAGGCCTCACACAAGGCAGCGCCTCTGTCACCAAGGACTCGGGAGGAAGTGGATTGAGCCAGGAGTCTGCAGCGCCACCCAGGCTGTCTCGGCCTCCCAAGTGCTGGCGTCACTATGCTCGGCTCATGGGCAAGGATTTTCAAAAGCAAAGTTGATATTTTCCAATATAACAAACTCATACAAACTACTTATGCTTATACCTTCCCAGTTTCTATTTCATTTCTCAAAGGCATGGTTACCAAGCATACAGTACAGGCTCACATTACTAATGAATCAGATAGCCATCTATCCATTAAATATATCAGAAATACTAAAACACACACACATACCAGCATTCTCTAAGACATTTATTAAGAACCATGCTATACGTGATACAGTTAAAAGAATATTTTTCAGAGTTTATTGAACTCACACTAGTAGACACATAAATCACTACATACTCTGAAAACTATAACTAGAGAATAATTGATAGTTGTCATTTTAAAAGATGACACCACAGTAAAATGGCTTTCTCATGGGCCATGGGTATGATTCACCACAACCAGTTTTCATTGTCTTTACACCAAGATAAGGTAGGTTTTCAATTTAACTTTCACTAATAGAGACATTAATCGTAGCAAATTTCTCTGAGTATTCAAATCTTTGGAGAGGTTAATGTAAAATGTTATTAAAACAGAAGATCACAATAAATGAATCATACCGATCCATGCCAATGTGACTCACCAGGAAACTTCCTAAACTAACGAGAGTGGAATTATTTACACAATAGAAACGATAACTACATCCTTCTATAAATGCTCTTTTGTAGCTATCAATACCCTAGAAAACTATAGAGAGTAGATGGAATTACAGTAGTCACTCAGTCTTGTTCCTCATTATTAACTCTGCACTGTTACTGACCCGACAGAAGACTAAGACTGGTTTTAGAAATGTCTTTCGAAAGGTCATATACACAATAAGCACAACTGAGAGCTGTCTACGAAGTAAAAATCACTCTTCTCCTGTTTAACCATGTATATTTGCTACCACTGCAAGATACTTCTGTTTGCATAACTTTGTCAGTATTATCTATATTTGAATCTGAATTTGTACAAGCAAAGACATCAGACTACTTACTGCAATGATGTATATTCTTTCATTTTCCTTAACAGTACCTAGCCACATGTGTCTTTTAGATGATTTGTGATTCTATACCTGTCTTGGCCTAGGTTCTCAAAAATCACATTATTCCTAAGGCTCAAATAAAAAACTTCCCAACCATAAAAGACTCCCAAACAATCAGGAGGTCATTCAGCACACTAGTATCCTTAAGGTTTTTCTTCTTCCACTTGCTTACAGTTGCCAACTACTGTAGAATCCACTTTCAATGGTGATGAGCTAAACGGAGCTGTACTCTAATGAAAGGCTCAGCTATGATGGAATTGGAGGTTACTACTATCTGTTAAGACCAGTACATTTTAAAACTTAGTTTTGGAGATCTGATCAGCCAGGCAGAAACACATCAAATTGGGGTGGCAACTGTGCTCCTAATTTCCTAGCCCCCAGATCCAACCAAACTCTACTTTCTATTATATTTCCAATCATTTCATTTCTCTCACCTCTACTACTCAGTCCAGCAACTCAGCTACAGACTTTTTGTTTTGTTTTTTTTGGTTTGTTGGTATGGTTTGGTTGTTCAAGACAGGGTTTCTCTGTGCCAGCTGCCCTGGCTGTCCTGGAAGTCCCTCTTTAGAACTGGTTGGCCTCGAACTCATTGAGACCAGCCTGCCTCTACCTCCTGAGTGCTAGGATTAAGGGTGTGTACCACCATGCTCTGCTGACTTTTTTGGTTTTTTAAAGACACCTGTACCCCAGACTATAAGCCTTGAAGTTGGGACAATCCTCCTTCAGCCTCCTCAGTGTTGGGATTGTAGGCATGAGTTAACACACCCAGCTTCAGCTATAGACTTTTCATAGTTTTGTCTCTGACTTATACTTCTCTCCCTTTAATCAAGTCTTTACCAAAGGAATCTTTAAGCTTCCAGTGTAAGAAGACAGGTTGAAGCTGCTTCTTTGTGACACCATGAAGAAGAGTCAAGATGAAGAAATTTATACTTCATTCCAAAGAAATAATACAGTGGAAGAACCCTGGAAACAAAGTGATAAAACCAATGGCAAATACAGATGCTGAAAAAAGAAGCCCTGCACAGCTCTCCAGGGGAGGAGGGACACAGCCCTGCACAGCTCTCCAGGGGAGGAGGGACACAGCCCTGCACAGCTCTCCAGGGGAGGAGGGACACAGCCCTGCACAGCTCTCTGGGGAGGAGGGACACAGCCCTGCACAGCTCTCTGGGAAGGAGGGACACAGCCCTGCA